AGCTAATTTTTGTATTTTTAGTAGAGACGAGGTTTCACCATGTTGACCAAGCTGGTCTTGAACTCCTGACCTCAGGTGATCTGCCTGCCTCGGCCTTCCAAAGTGCTGGTATTACAGGCATGAGCCACCGTGCCCAGACTTTTTTTTTTTTTTCAGAGACAGGATCTTGCTTCGTTGCCCAAGCTGGAGTACAGTGCCGTGGTGCCATCATGGTTCAACATAATCTCCCATTTGGGCTCAAGGGATCCTCCTTCTTCAGCCTCTTGCATAGCTAGGACCACAGGCACATGCCACCACACCTGGCTAATTTTTTATATTTTTTGTAGAGACAGGCCTCACTGTGCTGTCCAGGCTGGTCTTGAACTCCTGGCCTTAAGTGACCCTTTTACCTTGGCCTCCCAAAGCGTTGGGATTCCAGGCATGAGCCACCATGCCGGGCTTCCTGGTTTCTTTATACTTCTTCACATACACACAGTGGCTAAGATCACATTTGTCTGTATTTATCTAACCATTACTTATTGATGTGGTGCACTATAAGGTCTGAATTTGAATTGGCTTAATTTTTTTTTTTGAGATGGAGTCTCGCCCTGTCGCCCGGGCTGGAGTGCAGTGGCGCAATCACGACTCACTGCAGCCTCCACCTCCTGGATTCAAGCAGTTCTCCTGCTTCAGCCTCCCGAGTAGCTGGGATTACAGGCACGCACCAGCAAGCCTAGCTAGTTTTTATTTTTTAGTAGAGACGGAGTTTCATCATGTTGGCCAGGCTGGTCTCAAACTCCTGACCTCAAGTGATCCACCCGGAATTGGCTTCATTTTTACAGTACCTGGTAAGACAGGGTCTCGCTCTGTCATCCAGGCTAGAGTGCAGTGGCATGATCGTAGCTCACTGTAACCTCAAACTCCTGGGCTTGAGCGATACTCCTGAGTAGTTGGGACGACAGGCATGCACTACCCACACTTGGCTAATTTATGTATGTTTTATAGAGATGGGGTCTTGCTATATTGCCCAGACTGGTCTCAAATACCTGGGCTCAAGCGAACTTCCTGCCTCCACCTGCCAAAGTGTTGGGATTACAGGCATGAGCCACCATACCCAGTCCAGAATTCCTTTGATTTTATTATTTTTGTTTTTTGAGATGAAGTCTCACTCTGTCACCTAGGCTGGAGTGCAGTGGCATGATCTCGGCTCACCACAAACTCTACCTCCCGGGTTCAAGCGATTCTCCTGCCTCAGCCTCCCGAGTAGCTGGGATTACAGACACCCACCACCACACCTGGCTAATTTTTGTATTTTTAGTAGAGATGAGGTTTCGCCATGTTGACCAGGCTGGTCTTGAACTCCTGACCTCAGGTGATCCACCTGCCTCAGCCTCCCAAAGTGCTAGGATTACAGGCGTGAGCCACCGTGCCCAGCCCAGAATTCCTTTTATAACCTGACAACCCATTATATTGACCCCATAAATGTGAATAGTCCGTTACGATAAACTTCAGTACAGGAAATTCACTGTGTGGCCAATTTAAATGATGTGAATATTGAATGATCAGTCATGAATTCAAGGTGCAACCTTTCATAACGAAAGCTCCAGGCTGGGTGTGGTGGAGCACACCTGTAGTCCCAGTTTAGGCTGAGGCAAGAGGCTCTCTTGAGCCAGGAGTTCAGAACAAGACTCTGTCTTATAAAAATAAATAAATAAATAATGAAAATTGCTTCACCTTTCCTGTACATGAAACTCTCTACAAAGCATAAGGTGAGTCTCACATTCTCACTTCTAAGGTGCTTCCATCGGGTTTGGGAAACAATTTCTTTCTTTCTTTTTTTTTTCTTTTTTGAGATGGAGTTTCGCTCTTGTTTCCCAGGCTGGAGTGCCGTGGTGCGACCTTGGCTTACTACAACCTCCGCCTCCCAGGTTCAAGCAATTCTCCTGCTACAGGCGCCCACCACCACGCCCAGCTAATGTTTTGTAATTTTAGTA